TATACTGGTGTTGACAACTAAGGTTTTAAATAATGGAAGAAAGACATTATTACATCCCAAGTTGGAGTTGTTTTTCCATTGGATACGTCACTATCTGAGTGGGCAGGATTGTTGCCTTTACAATCTTCCTGTGACTTTAAATGTTTCCTGGAAGCCATAAGCCAAGTTCAAGAGAGTTTTATACACAATATAAATATTTATTTGGTCTTTCTTATAAACACCACCTGTATGACAACTTGTAAAGTGAGTTCAGCTGAGCTTTTCCCTGTAACTAACATTTTTGAAATCATCCTTGGCAATGGCAGGAAAATGATCACATGATGTTATTAATTTCCCAAGGGACATGGCTAGAGATATTTTGAATTTAAAACCAAAATAATTCTGAGGGAGGGCCGTGAAAAATATACATATATTGTGAAGTCAGCTTTTGGACACCTGATTTTGAAATATATTTCAAAGTCTTTTCCTTTAAGTCAAGCATTTTAAAATACTAAAAATAGTATTATAGCTCAGTGATGGAGCACCCATGAAGCATGCATAAGACTCTGGATTTGGTCCCTAGCAAAACACACACACAAAAATAGCATTATAATAGAACCAATGTATTATATTGATTTTTTTAAAATTTTGAGACAGGGTTTCACTAAGTTACTGATGCTGATCTTCCTTCACCTAAATCTCTGGCTTCATCCCTCAGGCCTCATTTATAGATGACAGGATTTATTTTCTGTTTCCAGAAGCCAGGAAGTGTGTTCTGAACATTTAAATGGCTCCATCTAGGAGAACCAAAGAGGAGAGCCAGAAGGGACCCTAGAAATCATACATCAGTCACGGAGGGAAGGTTTTGTGTCATGTGCTGACGTCTGCTGATTGGCCTCTGAGGTGAGTTCCATGCTGAGTGGTGGGGCTGACCACCCACGGCTGCCATGGGCTCAGCATCAGGTGGTCCAGCTGCTCAGTTCCTGCCTGATTGAATCCAGGCTCCCATTTCAGAAGACAGTGAACTACATTTCTGTCCGCATGTCCACCATACTCTGTGTGTGGTGTCTCCCTTCTGTGTGGCTTTGCACACAGCTTAGGTCAGCTTTTATGCGTTCTGAGCCTGCTGAGAAGAGCTGGGCTTCATTTTCTCTGTCTGGGCTCCTGGGGCAGGTAGTAGGTAAGTAAGGTCTTTCTTAGACTCAGCCATTGACTCAGGCTGTCTGGGACCCCTTTGGGATTCCCCCACACTCAACCGAGTGTATTCCTGGGCTGAGGGAGGGTGTCTGATGTTTCTGGGTGCCCTCCTGCCCGCAGGGGTTGCCTGTGACTCACCAAGCACGGAAATCCACGGGGCTTCATGCCCTGCTTCTCGCCCTGAAAACCATCTCCAGCAAGCCAACCATAAGGTGTTATCATCTGAGAACCACTGAGATCACTAACCTCTGGGCCATTGCCCCAGCTGTTCCCTGTTCATCCAAATTAATTACAGGAGTCCATGCAGCTCAGCAGAATCAGATTTTATCAAATCAGATAATTAAACAGAAATCCTATGTCCTTTCCACTTTACCATGCTACTTCCAAAACATAACTTTAAAAAAAAATTGAAATGGAACAAATTTTAGTTTTAAAAGATCCTAAATTATATCTGCTCTATTGTCCTTTAAAGAGACTCTTCTACCCATGAGTCACATCTATACAGACATGTAAACACCAAGGAGGCTAGAGTTACAGAACTCTTTCCCTACGCTCCTTCCTCCATTAGTCCTGTGAATCTCACCTTTATCCTCATAAAACACTGAAAAATTGTATCTACACAAGAAGCCTTCAAACTTTAACAAAGCTACAGAGAAATCTCAAACTATACTGTGAATAGTAAAATAGGAGTGATATAACTGGGCATGGTGGCACATGCCTATAATCCCAGTTACTGAGGCAAGTTTTAGGACAGTTTCAGCAACTTAGCAAAATCCTGTCTCAAAATAGATAAAAAGGGCTGCAGTGTAGGTCAGTTGGTGGAGTTTTCCTGGGTTCAGTCATCAGTATTGTTAAAAAAAGTGATATATTAGTTACTAAACACTGCCCATTTTCTAAGTACATAATAAAATGTCTGATTAAATATATTTTTAGATGTACTAAGGTAGTCATATATACCATTACTATTGCCATTGGATAAAAATTCTTTCCTTGTTTTTTTTTGGGGGGGATATCAGGGATTGAAATAAAGGGGCACTCAACTACTGAGCCACATCCCCAGTCCTATTTTGTATTTTATTTAGCTATAGTGTCTCACTGAGTTACTTAGTGCCTCACTTTCGTTGAGGCTGGCTGTGACCTCCTGATCTTCCTGATTCAGCCTTCTGAGTTGCTGGAATTACAGATATGTGCCACAGCACCCAACCTATACAAAATTTCTTAATACATAAATATTGTTCTCATCTGTGATAATTATCTCTAACATAGTTTCCACTGTCATTATTCTATGTTAAATTTTATTCTATTCAAAAATATTTCTACGTGACATTTTTTTCATGTTGTGGACTTTATAGTTTATGAAAAACTTTCAACATGTATTTCATTTTAGTCTTTATATCAACCCTGTGATATAGACATTATTACCCCAATTTTTGAATGAATATGCTAGAGAGGTTTAATGTTATGAAGATCACACAGCTTAAAAGGGACAAAGCTAGAAATAACCCAAATCTTCTTGTCCTGAAGCTACTCCACTTACTTTTACATCATTAATATCTCCCTACTGACAGACACTTCTCATTCCAGTGCTCTATTAATGTTTACATTACTGTTCAAATACTCTCCACATAACTGACTCAAATTCCAGGGGTAACCATTGGGTTCTGGAGTTAGTTAACTTATGTATGAATCCTGGATCCACTATATGCTAATTGTTTAAGCCTCCACAAATAACTTCTTCAGATCTCAATTTCATTATCTGAATGATAAGGAAAATAATATCACCTTCCTAATCTGATTGTTATAAAAGAAAAACAATATGCTAGTCTATCTTGCACAAAACTGCTAAGGATTAACCTTCTAAAGCATACCTATCAGTATTTTCTTACACAATTAATTTCACTCACTGTTTTAGTTGGCTTTTTCATTTCTGCAACCAAAAGACTTAACAAGAACAATTTAAGGAGGACAAAGTTTATTTTGGGGCTCATGGTTTCTGAAGTCTCAGTCCATAGACAGACAAATCCATTCCTCAGGTCTTGAGGTGAGACAAAACACCATGGCAGAAAAGTGTGATGGAGGGAAATGGCTCAAGACATGACAATCAGCCTCCACTTGCCACATACAAAATATATACCCCAGAGGCATGCCCCTAGTGACCCACCTTCTCCAGCCACACCCTATCTGCCTTCAGTTAGCACTCAGTTAATCCCCATCAGGGAATTAATTCACTGATGGGGTTAAGGCTTTCAAAACCCAGTGATTTCACCTCTAAGCACTATCTTACATGAGCTTTGGCAGGACAACTCACATCCAAACCATAATACTTACTCTACATTGCCTATTAAAGAAAATCCAAAATTTGTAATTTAACACTTAAGGAACGTATGATCTGGCCTTAACATGTCAACACTATAATGTACTATCTCCTTATCACATGTCTTCTATCACATACATATCAAAATACTAATTATTCCTGAAACATAAAATGTACTTCAGTAAATCCATAATTTATATGATTCCCTCTTCCTTGGATACTATCTTTGTGTAATACCACAATGCCACATGTGAAAATTATGCCCATTTTTCAAAGTGCTGGTAAATTACCACCCCCTCAATCTCTTCCTTGATCTCCCAGCTGAAATTTATTTCTTCTTCCTTCTCTTCTAAATGCATATTGGTTATCTTTAATGATAGACAACACTTTGCTTTGCAATATAATTTTTGTGCTTTCTACTTTCCCCTATAAGAGGAAACTAAGGCAAAACAAAATCAAAGATTAGTTTGAACTGTATGGCATTACTGAGATTTGACCAATATGACCTGTATAAATGACAATTTCAAATTATTTAATCTAATAACACATTTGTAGCTATTATTAATCCATATAATGTAAGAAATTCAATGATTTAGAGTTATTTTAGAGGGTAATATTTCCATGCAAGCATTCAGAGTAAAGACAATTTTAGAGTTTTGTTGGAAAAATATAGATTTTTAAATCATTTATACTTCTTTTTGTCCAATATGGCTAAAGTATACATTTCAAAATTTCAGTCCTTAGAAGTGATCTCAAATATATTTTAAATAATCCAAATTCTTATATTGACAGGCTCCTTATTTATTCTTTTTCTTTTCTTTTTTCTTCTAGTAATAGTTGCCTATGAGAGGTTGATTTAAGATCTGAAAAAAGACATTAATTATGTCTGATTCTCCATTGCTCCAGTTGTGATTATTAGTTTTACCAGATACAAGAAAGTCTTTGTTTTCTTTTAACACTTGTATAGCAAATATTTAAAATTCCAGTCTTCTAAACATAATTTACTCACTGAAGATGTCATCCCAAGAGATGTCTCAGCTACTTAGTTTCTATTTTGTTATAATATACAATGAAGTATTAACATATTTTTTATTTGGATTATTATAATATATTCTCAAATAACATATATAGGAAGTAATTAGCTTATGAAATGTAACCATTATAATCATCTTATATAATCATTTCTAAATTATTATTCATTTAAATACCACACCTTATGAAAATTATTTAATGTTGCATAATTACTGGGCTCATTTTAGAGTAAGGATCAATTAGAAATCATGTATTTAGTAATAACTTAAGTCATAGATTTAATGTATTGAAGAACCTGAATTGTTCTGTCTTTTGAGAGATGGGATAATTGGTTTTTAAAAAGTTATAACATAATATAAATAACAGTGGTAAAAATCAATGTTTTGATGAAAATTTAATATGAGTACCTATACAGTGGTGTCGGAAGTATTTGAGGATGTTATTTCCATTTGAAAAGGAATCAGATGATTGATCTTACCTGCTCATGTATCTGGTTTGATCCACCATGGCACAGTTCATTTCCAATGCTTGTAGAAGTTGAATCACTTCCTGTGATGCTATGTATTTGTTGGTTAGAATGGGATTGTTGACAGTGTGAAGAGTGGATGATCTGAGGCTGTTGGACAATATGATGATGGCATTGAACCTGAGGATAGCATTCCTAAAACACAAACACATATAAAAAATAGCTGCTGAGAATAAATAACATTAATCGAGACTAAAAAAGCAACTGAAACCATGTTTGAAAACTCAGTGCATGTTTTCACAATATAATTTAAACCCTAGAATTTGTAGTATTAATTGGTGATATATTATTTTTCAAATTCTTCCATTGGGAAAACTTGTATTAAATTCTATTTTTATTCAATCATGTATCTGTGACTGTAGAAATACTTACCTAGATAGGCCAGAGAATAACATGGTCTGATTAAATTAATATTCCAGTTACACTTATCACTAAAAGTATAATGAATATTAATATTAATTAATCTTTCTTCAATGATTCAACAGGCACTTCAGTATCTAATTACATAATAATACCATAACACTGAAGATGTAGACGGATATAAAATTAGAAAATAATGTAGTGATTTTTAATGTCAGGAAGCATATTAGAGTCACAGTAGGGGGAACAAAGTGCTAATGCTTATGAAAATCAAGTATGAATTTTTGAAAAAAAAGATTGAAAACCAGTGACCGGTGCTTCCAATTCAGAAAACATGGATTTTTAACTCTAATTCTTCCACTTACTCTTTGATCTTTAAAAAAAAATCTATCTATCTATCTATCTATTTATCTATCTATATATATATCTCCTTTATGAGTCCCAGTTTTCTAATTTGCCAAACTGGGTTCAGTATGGGTCCTCATGGATTGTTGTGAGGGGTAAATGCACTAATGTCTGTATATTACATAGTACAAGGTAGGTGAGTAATATACATTTATTACTATTATTATTACTATTATTATCATTTATGTCACCATCATCATTGACTTTATTATCTACCTCACTAATTTTGAAGGTATAAAATAAACCCCTGAGGTCTAGAAAATCAAGTTGTTTTAATTATAATGACTGAAATTAATGGAAAAATTGGGGTTGGAACTCAAGATTTCTAGCATAGAGTTCTTTCAGGTATTAATTGGCTGAACATATACTGAGCTCAAGATATTCTTGAATTTGTTATTTTTAAACTAAATATTTGCTACCTGATTGTTTATTTGCCATGGATATTTTCAGGTAAGTATGGAAAACAAACTAATATATCTAAGTGTTTCAGTTTCGAGGAATTCAGATATCTGCTATAGTATGTTGTTATTATTCTACTTTGATAAGAGGCATCCAGAAGCTTGTTTTTAAATAAAAATATTCAATTTTGAGTCATAATACTACATTTATGTATAATCAACTTTGAACATTTGAATTCAATGCTCTATTTCTTTCAACTGTGGATAGTTGACCAATATTAAAATAGTAAAATACTTCATATTTTAAATTTTTATATGAAAAATTCAACTTATGTTAAATGAAAGAAGTGCAGAAGAATTAATATAGTATTCTGGTGTAACTTATAAAGAATGTTTTTACCTATATATTTACGAATATACATAAATGCTTCTGTATGATTTGACCAATAAACTTTTAAGAATGGCAACTTCTGTTAAGAGAAATGAGGGACAAATTGATCCAAATAAGCTTGTTTTTCATTGTATGCATTTTTATACTTTTTATAGATTTTTATATTCTTTTACATTCTGGAAATTCTTACCATGTATACAAATGACCTACACACACACACACACACACACACACACACACCACACACTACATTCTGGAAAAAAAACAAAAGGATAAAGAAACACATTTTGCAAATACAAGTCACCTTGATAGACATATAGGTAAATGCCATATAGGTAAATGCTAAGCAATCTAAAGGCTTAGAATTATTTTCTATAGATGCTTTTTAAATATAACTTACTTTGAAAGTATGCTAGCACTAAGATCTTAACAGTTTAGAAAATTAAGCATATGCTGTCAGCAACCTTTGTACAAATTTGAGGATTTGAATATATTATCTATTATTTTTTGGTAAACAATACCATCATAATCTGGATTAGGATAAAAATCACATTGACAATCTGAGAAGACCATAACTCAGTGGGGATCTTGAACACTAATGAAATAGAAACTCTCCTGAAGAAATAACAACAATGTATACCCCCAAAAGCAAGTGAGGAAACACTTGGAAAGGACACATCAACAGAAGGTAATAAAGAAAAAAAAAACATTTATTAATTATCTTCCTTTGTTAATGTATCAGTTGACTCTTCAATAGAACACTGACATTCCTATCATCTAGGGTGCTGTACACTTTGTCTGAGCCTATCTAGCCTCTGAACCATACATTGGTTCTACTGAACTCTTAGCAGATTTTTAATTTTTTTTCACACATGCTAGGCAAGAGCTCTACTACAGAGCTGCACTCCCAATCTCATTTTAAATTCTTATACCTGACTATTAAAGTTATTGTTCTAAAGTAAGATGTTCATATATTAATGGAAATTTGAAGCATGTCATGAACTGAATTTTCTAAGTACAAAATATCAAACATTACTAATTTATCATAGATTATTCAATATCTTTGATGGAGAAAAAGAATTATAGAGTACAAATTATATGAATTGAATAATTTTCTTTCAACTGGCACTACTTTACCAACTCTTTGCTACAAATACATTTTTTTTTCTTAGACAGGTCTCATCTATGAGCTAGTCCTAATTGATAATAAACAGTTTCATGCAGACACTCATTTTATCCATTTTGTCCTAGTATATACTTCATCACAGAGGAAACTTAACTAGAGCAAAGAAGTTATAGTTTGTTACAACTACAGGGTTCCTTTTACCTTGGACAGCTTCCATGGCAGTTCCCAAACTCCCAAATTATTTAATTCATTAATAAGAAAAACTTGGCATAACCAAGTCAATACTCAAGTTAACAGTAAACAGTGGTGGTATTCTCATTTCTATTGTTTTTATGGGGCATTATAATTATACACAATGGTGGGACTCCTGTTGACATGTTTGTACATGCACATAACGTAATTAATTTAATTCTATTTCTCCAGTACCTCTCCTGTCCCTCCCCTCCTCCTTACTTTTGTCCCCTTCCTCTACTTTACTGATTTCCCTTCTATTATTTTTAAATAATGCATTATAATAATGTATATAAGTTGGATTCATTGTGGCATGGCAGTATTCCCTTAAAGGAGCTTTTCTTTAGTTATTTCACCTACATAGTGTTAATATAATGTACAGGGGGTCAATTTTAAACCTGTTTTTCTTTGAAACAAGAAGCTAGAAGCAGCATGAAATGATCCTACTCAACATTTTTACTATTAAAATGTATAAAATCTTATTGTTTTAGCAGCCCAGTTGGATAAATGGCAGGTTTTATAATTTGGTAGCTTGAAGACAATCCTGGCCCTTGGAAGAACAGGAATATTTGATGAAATTTTTCTACTTGATACCATAATTATCTGAACTATTCTGATACTCCTCTTCCATATATATATATATATATATATATATATATATATTCAGTATATTCCATACCAAACTCTTCATACTATATTCAGTTTTCTAAGCAAAATGAAATCTTAAAGATTTGAATGTTTAATATTCTGAGAGTTTACTCAATTTCATTTTTGCTGGGCATCAATTAAGTAAACTTTGTTATTTCCTACACATATGATAGTGACTGCCCATGAAGTTCTTACAAAATAAAATGTGGCTAGGTGCAGTGGTGCATGTCTGTAAGCCCAGTGACTGAGGAGGCTGAGGCAGGAGGATCATAAGTTTGAGTCCAGCCGCAGCAATTTAGACCCTGTCTCAAAATAAAAAAAATAAAATAAAAAGGACTGGGGAGATAGTTCAGTGGTAAATTACCCCTGGGTTCATATGCCCCAGTCAAAAAATGAAATTTTAATACATCAGCCAGTCTCATTTGTATACGAGAAAAATGATTTTGTTATCCAAACTGATTTGATATTATTTAACTGCCTATCATGAATTGCTTGTTACCCCTGCAAAGATATGTTGAAGTTCTAACCCCCAGTGATTTAGAATGTTCTCTTATTAAGAAACAGTGTCTTTATAGATGTAATCAAGTTAAAATGAGGTAATTAGGATGGGTCCTAATACAATATGACTATTATTCTTATAAATATGGGAAATTTGGACACAGAGACAAACATTTACAGAGGGAAGACAATGGGAAGATGTATACGGAGGATGCCATTAAAAGAGAATTGGAGTAATGCATCCACATGCCATAGAATGTCTGAGGCTACCAGAAAATAGGAAGCAGGCATAGAAGAGTTCTTTCCCCAAGGGCTTCAGAGGGAATAGGGCTCTGCCCAGTGATTTTAGACCTCTGAATTTCAGAACTGTGAGATAATAAATTTCTATTTTTTAAACCACCTAATTTGTGGTATTTTATTAGAATAGTCCTAGGAAACTGATACATTGTCCTAGTTCAAAACTGTCCAAGAGATAATACCAGGCTCTAATAGGACTGGACAAACTTTTATCCACTAAAAAGAGCAATGTGAAAACTATTGCTTACAACAACAACTGCATTTAAGGACTTGGTGCTGTAGATGTCATGAGATTACTGCGGTCCTCTAGCACCTGTGCACTCTGTACTTGGTCTCTCAGTTAATGAAAATTTAAAAATGTTATTTGAACCCTCAGTGTTCTCGATCTGTCATAGTATTCAGTGTATTACATATTTGTTCATACATATTATTCACTTGAAATTCATTATATGCTAAAATAATTAATACAAAATTATAATGCTTTAAATTATTATTTTTGTGAGACTAGTTAAAAGAAAAACAACAAAACATTTATATATATATTTAAGATTCTACCATTATTTTTGTATGTGATTATTTTGATTTCAGTTCCCTTTTACTAAAATAGGAATAATAATACTTTACATGATAAAATGAATATGAGCTTATTTATTTATTTATTATTGGTGCTGGGGATTGAACCTAGGGCCTTGTGCATGTGAGGCAATTATTGTACCAATACTTGCCTGAATATGAGATTATTAAGGATTCCATGAAGAGCTACAGATATAATGAAATATTACTATAACTCATGGTGGTTCTGTCTGGCATTTGATAATTGAATGTCATTTTAGCTCTATCTTTAAAATATTTATGAATATTTCAATATTCACTTAATAAAGTTTTACACTTATAAGACAACTTTTAAAACAATTATTACTTACCTGATCTGTATTTAGCTTCTCCACTTTTCTTATTGTTTTTTCATAAATAACATTGTTTCCTGGGAAGAAATGGCCTCCTCTTAAGAATGGAGACAGTGGTTCCTAAAAAGACAGTAAAACCTATGTTTTTCTTTGAAAGGTATCTTTTCCAGGGAAACTTAAAATATTTGGTTTGTCATAGGGTCTGAGGTAGTATCAGATTTAGGGGGAGAGTGGAATGACATCCAAATAAGGTCCTAATATGTATAAGAAAATAAAAGCAGTTTATTTATCAAAGAGAAAAATCTGAATTTTTCCTACTATCTTTTACTAGGTCTTTTGGGAAAAATTGGAATGAGGTAGGAAAGATTATTTTTTCTTTCTTTTTTTTTTCTATTACCAAGGCAAGCAAAATACAATTAGTTTCCTCTGAGGCAGATCACATGCTATCAGGTCAAGACCATTTAAATTGAGTTCACTGGTAGGTTTCTTTCTATGCAAAATTATTATCATAGAAATACAAAATAAACATAATTCAGCACTACTAGGACATAAAATAGGTAGAATTGTATTAAATATTTGTTTCCCAGAACTTGATTTGGGTGCCCTTGAAGTGTACAATTCTTGTGATTATAATCAAGGTGAAGACTCTCAGTGCAACATGTTTTGAATACTAATAACTGAGAAGAAGCTTTAAGAGCCACTGTATCTCTGTATAATCAACTAAATAGCTGGAGGATTAGCCAAGTGCTTAGAAGATGTCAACCAATGGAATTAAGGCTAGTGACATGTCCAAGATCTGAAATAAACCAGAAAAGGACTAATAAGAATCAGACCAAGAGTGTAAAATGTAAGGTGTAGTATATTTTTTTTTCCATCTTTTGGTTTAATTCAATCTTTACATGAAAGCTGGGTTTATTTTGTTATTGAACAAAAATTGCATTCATTTATTTTGTAATATGGGAGAAAAGTGTAGAGTTGGGGATGGTCTCATGTATTAACAATTAAGCTTAAGGACATTTTAAAATCAACAACATGTACTAGCATTTTTATAGTCTACTATCGTAAATACTCTTAGACTAACTGAACTAAAACTTTGGTTGTTGAGAAATTAAGACACTCTTGACACAAAAGTTATACACTTCTGGTATTCAAGTTTGAATAAGGGTGCTTTAACTAAATGGTCCTTGGAAACTTTGGTAAAACAAATACATAAGTGACTAAATTTGACTAGCTAATGAATTATTAAATCTAAAGATGCATTATATTAAAAAAGATTCCCCTGGAAGCTATTTTCTGTGTGTTTGATTTTGTTAATGAACTTCTTTAGTAGTTATATTTGATCATGTAACATATGGCTCTGTATGCATAATGTGTTTTGCTAACTGCTATGAGGCATACAAACATGAATCACACATATTACTAGGTGCATTTAATATTGATCAGAGTTCATAAAACTATGGCAGACAGTTTTTTTGCACTGTCCTCAGGATAAGCATGATATTTAGATTTTTAAAAGACTGTAAATAAAAAAGAAGATCCAAGGCCCTATGTTGCTAATGAAGCCTAAAATTTTTACCATCTGGCCTTTTACAGGAAACTTTTCTCAATCCCTGCTCTAGATAATACATGAAGATAAATACCTAAAGTAAGAGGTAGAAAGTGACAAGTGCCAAAAAAAGTATAGAGAAAGAACTTAGAGAAATGGGCTGATGGTGAAAACCTGAGTTCTATCTGGTAGTTCTCAGGTAGGATACTTGCATCAAGTGGAATTTTAAAGAAAATTGAGATGATCTTTGGGTATAAGCAAACTGAAGAAAATAATTATTCAAGTGAAGTATAAAAATCTAAATCAGCAAGTTTCAAAAAGGGTAAGTTATATATAGGGAATATACTTGTCAGATAGCTTGGTTCAATAAAAAATAAGAAGTCTAAGTCCTTGTAAAAGGGTGTCTAAGATGAAAAAAAGTCTACTTCAGGAAGATTAACCAGAGAAAAGGAAGAATGCAAGTAAGTATACTGGCTAGGATATTATTCTTATATTCAAGGGCAGTACTTTTCAAAGTTGACTCTGGGATGTTGAACCTGGAGGAGTCTACTACATAGCCAATGGTATAAAAAACAAACATTGAGACACTGAGTTTTATATGCTCCTATTAGAATTTGGATCTGGTTCATGTCTTTATTTCGTGTAACACATAGTAAGCCCTTTAACATGTATGAAATTATTGCAAAGAACTGCGAGAAAGACTGTAACCAAAAATATATGTGGGTCTATGGGTGTAGTTCAGTAGCAGAGTGCTTACCTAGCATGTGTGAGACCCTGGGCTCAATCCCCAGCATCACAAAACAACAAATATGTGGGTGGACACTTGTATGTACACATCTAGCATATGGCTGAAAACTCAGGTTTGGAACTAAGTAGGAATTTCAAGACTGCAGATTCAGATTTCAGAACCAACTGCTTAGACGTCTTAGCTAAAACTATGCAATTGCTGAAAAGGTGAGTGAAGATGAAAGACAGAACTAGACACGCTGTAAAAGGTCTGAGAATCAGAAGAGAAATGTGTCATGGAAATCAAGATGAGAAATTTTCAGTAAGTAGAACGAAGTTGAATGTTTAAATGCTTCAGAGATGTCAACATGTAAGAACTACAAAATGGATTGCATTTGGACTATTATAAATTAATTGAGTTAGACTATCAAAATTAGTAGAAACAGATCTAATGGAAAAAAAGTTATGAAATAATAAAATCTGTATTTAATTTCTTCTTTTATTATCTATGCACTGTGGAAACTTAGGAAAGTCATTTAAACTTCTCTGAAGTTTGTTTGCTTATCATAGAGACATTAATGCAGGATATCTCGTATCAAGTATAATAATGTATTTAAGGTACCCTTTATCTGTAACTTTAATGTAAAAAGAGTATTGGTTTTTAATAATACTGTATAGTCTATACTATATTTAAAATAATTTCTGAGAACACTATTATAATTTTTCTAGATTATTGATTTCAAAAATAAATGAGAATTGGCTTATTGAGGACAAGGACTTATAAATCTTGAATACTCCATAGCAAAGGAACATATGATTGAGTGAGAACAGATGATATGAACTAAGAGAGGGAAAACAAATTTATCAAAACATACAATTTTCTTTTCTCTTCAAAGAAAATTGCACCATAAATACTGAGCCTTTATTACTATTTTTAAGGAAGAAAGATGGTCAGTAGTTAACAGTACTGATTCTGTCTAGAATGCTTGTTGGTCTCATTATTTAAAAATGACTTACAAAAAAAAAAAACAAAAAAAAAAACCCCAAAAAACAAAAAAATGACTTACAAAAAAGTGTTCAAGTTGAGATAATTATTATTTTTCAAAAATATATAAGAAAGTAAAACCACATATCAATATGAATAAATTATTTTAACAAAGAAAATCAGAAAAGTAACTTTAATCAGAAATTGAGATTTTTTTAGCAAAGAAACTGCTAAACAGTTTTACTATTTGGGCAGCATCTTTTGTTCAATACATACATTTGAATTGGTGCCAGATACACACTAAAGATTAACAGGTGCTTTCAAAATAGTTGATCTTATAATTTTAATTGTTATGTTTGGAACCTTTGGAAGTAGTTCTCACATCTAACAAGTATGTAATTCCTAACATCTACTCTTTAGTTCCCAGGCCACAAAGCTCTGACAAAGAAATTTCATTATCTAATTTCAAGCTTTCCAAATTCAAGTTATACAATTTCAAGTAAGCATTCCAACCTTGGTGATTATACTTATATACATCACATTTCTTATAACTGTGGATATAAATCTAATTATTTTTCTCAAACCCCAATGTGCTTATATTCCCTCATTCTCCTTCTGTTTATGGAGAAACCTAAGATAACCTAATCCCATATTATCTCTCTATGTTCCTCCACACTTCAGAAATCTCTATACAGTTTCTACTCTAAGAAGAAAGAAATACTCTTTCCCCAGTGTCACTTCTCTTTATGTTCCTGGAATCCTATCGTCTCTTGACACCTCCAGTATTTTACCCATTTATCTCTATACTATGTTACATCTTTAGCTTTCCTTATTACCGGTTATTTCCTAGTATCTACAACTCTCCCAGGGTCTGCAAAATTCTGTTTTCTCCTTTAGCTCCCATCCCATCTTTCCTTTCTCTCACCAATATCTATTTCAGTAGAGTAATCCTCACTCATTTTCTCCACTTCCTCTTGATACACTCACCCATTAACATTGCATTTGGATTTTGCCACCACACATACAAAAAACTGGTCTCTCAATCATCAATATTAACTTCTTAATGAAGTCTCTATTCTCAAAATTTGAGATGGTTGCGTGTTTCCTTCTGCTATTTGCTTCATTTATTTATGTTCACATCCTTCTCTGACAACACCTCTTCCTATGAAATCATCCCCTTTTTGTCCCCTTAAAGTAGGCATTTCTTGATTATCTTACCTTAACATTCTCCATTAAGTCCCAGGTATCTCACTAATTCCTATAGCTTTTATTTTATTTTATTTTTAAAGCAGGGATTGAACTCAGGGTAACTTGACTACCAAGGCACATCCCAGCCCTTTTTATTAGTAGTATTTTTAAAAAAAATTGGAACAGGGTCTCACCAAGTTACTTAGGGACTTACTATATTGCTGAGGCTAGTTTTGAACATGCAACCCTCCTGCCTCACACTTTGGATATGCTGGGATTTTAAGTATGTGCCACCATGCCCAACTATCCCTATAGCTTTGATGATAACTTTAATAGGACTCCCATGTCTCTACCACAAATGTGACTTTCTCTGCATCATTTTCACTATTGGGCATCTTCCATGTACCTCAAATGTCACTGGTTCAAACAACACTCATAATCTTATTTGCCAAAACTTCTTCATCTTCTCTACCCGTCTTAATGCTTTTAGTTGGGCTGCCATATTTATATTGCCTTAAGATGAAAAGCTAAGGGTCATATGTGACTTTTCTTCTTTCAACCTCCATGTCTAGTATATTAAATTTGGTTAAAACTATCACCAGAACAGCTGTCAGAAAAGAGAATGGTAGGGCTGGGGATATGGCTCAAGTGGTAGCGCACTCGCCTGGCTTGCGTGCGGCCTGGGTTCGATCCTCAGCACCACATACAAACAAAGATGTTGTGTCCGCCGAAAACTAAAAAATAAATATTAAAAAAATCTTTTCTCTCTCTCTCTCTCTCTCTCTCTCTCTCTCTCTCTCTCTCTCTCCCTCTCTTTAAAAAAAAAGAAGAGAGTGGTAAATTTGAGAATACCTGAGCAAATCACACTTATTAAAACTTTAGCTACATTTTTAATAAAAGGATGTTTAAAACAATGTTACTCATATTAATACCTTAAATACCACAACAAATCGTTCAATAATTCCCCCCCAACATATGTTTTATCTCCAATATCTGAACTTCAATAATATTTTATCATCCCACCAAGTATTTTCCACAGCTATCTGTGGTCATGTCTTTTTTCCCTTCCCGAAAGGAACTAGAAGTTTCTTTGATTTAGAAAACATGTCTTATTTCCTTGTTTCTATCTGAAGGCTGCATAGTTTCCTCCCCATAGCAAAATCTCCACAATTGAAAAATTAACAAAACTGATAAATATCAATAGAATTCTATAAATGAATAGAAAGAAGAATTTTCATTTCTTGTTCAAATAATAAATGAAAATGCATAAGCCCTTTGACTAAAATGGTATCAAATAGAGAATAAGGACATTTTAAAACAACCAAAATGAAAAACAAAGATAGAAGGAAATCATAATGAAAGAATTGGATTGAGATCAGTTTAATTACAGGGAGGAGAAATAAAGATTAGACAAGCTGGGAGGTGAGAGGATGAAGTTGCCATTTAGGAGGCTCAGCTTATTATAAATAGTGTAATTAAACTAGAATCTTCTCCTAGGGGATTTAAAAGAGCAAACAAAAAAGAAATGTATTTGGAAATAAAATGGGAAATATATCTAGACAGGATTTTCAAGCTGCTTTGCTAGACCAATTAGATTATTTTTGTTTACAAAGCATGGGGCTTGAAATTTGTTTTATTCTTCAATAAAGGAGAGACTTAAAAGCTTTAAAATCACTATTTTTCTTTAGTCCTCTGCTGGTTCTTCTTGAGAAATTGTTTATAGTTGAACCACAGTTCAAAATTATGAGTTCCTACAGAGGAAACCCAGGGTTTCTAATACATTATGTACTTGCATACATCTAATTTCTCTGCCTTTGTAACCAACTACATGACAGGTAAAAAGAAATATAGGTATGAATCTGGTAACCAATTTACCTCCATCAACTGTCTTAAGTTGCAATATTTTTTTCTCCCAGATCTGTATTGTTCAATTTCATTTCCAACTCTGCCACTTTGCAACTGAATGTTTTTATACCAGTTTAGAACTTAAGTTTCAAGAAAGTGGAAACCTTGTTAGGGCAATTTCTGGCACATAGTAGGTAACTGATAAATATTTACTGGATGGATTAATGAATCTCTCTGTGCTTCTGTTTCTTTGCTTTTGTAGGATTAAATGGAATGCAATATGTAAATTGACTAGCATGTGGTATATAGCCAATGAATATTAATTTTTCCTTTTATCTCATTAACCAAAGAATAAAAATTCATCCAATGTCACAAAAATTTGGCTGGCAAAGTGGATTGGAATCCAAATTATTTGATGTTTAAAATTTCTATATATAACCTAGACAAGCACGGGTTTTTACATTATGGGAAAGAAGTGCTATCTAGAACTAACTTTTTTGAAGCCAGATCAATTGGGCTATGCATCCAAAAATGCACATCTCCCATTTTGCATGTAAAAGAAAGAAAATGAAAGAGGGGGAGAAATATGGAAAAAGTATAAAGTAATTGGTCAAATGAGAAAGAGAGATACACTGTCCTCTCTCAGGTCATCCCCAATTTCTCCTATCTGCCTTCTACTTTTCAGATTTGTTCCTTAAATATTTGATTCTGCAAAAGAAGAAGCAGTCAATTGCTTTAGTTATAATCATATCCTCTTTCAAGGTTTATAAGGATTCAAGAGAACTCAAGAAAATGTCTAAAATAACCAAATTCTACTCAGAGTTTGTGTGCACACAGATTCACACAGACACATGCAGAACCAGTGGCCTCCCTGGAGAAGCAAACATGAGAAAATAATTTTAGAATAAATAAATAAGGAATTGTGGGGTTAGATACTAGTAGAAAACAAACACAACCACCTCACTTACTTAAATTAGTAGTAAGCATAGCACCCTAATTTAATGCTTTGCCTCCCATAGCAGATGCCAATCATTTATTTTATCTTGTAGTGGAACAGAAAATTGTTTCCCATAATAGTGGAGAAATAAATTAGAGAGCAAAGAAAAAAAAAATCTGTATTCCTATCTGGATTACACTGTTTCCAAGTGTGAAATGGTGTCCGTATAACCTCATGGAAATTCCTTTTGCTCATAATGTTGTGTGTGTGTGTGTGTGTGTGTGTGTGTATGAGCGGGGGGGGGGTGTGAATGTATATATCAAGGAAAGCTTATTACTGTGAACAAAAATACTCTTCTTAATTTTCTCCTCAAAATGGAACAGAGAATAATGACCTACTTTGTGAAATACAAGATTGTGTATCTTAATAAGAAATACAATGTAATTTTCAAAACATCTCATTGCTAGGCACATACTTCACACACTGTAGAAAGCAAAACATGAAGACAGTTTTGAACTTTCGACTTTTCATTTTCTTCTTTCTAGTCCATATCTCAAATGCAATCTAAATAGACTAAAAACTCTAATCCCTGGAGTAAGAGTTGATAGAGATTTTATGGGAAGCCTATGAAAGAATGTTGTCCCTTTTCTCTTTGGTTCAAAGAGAAGTGCAAGAGTGAAGCTATAGAAATAGAAACCACTTATAACCCAAGAATTTTCAAGCTGCTTTGAACTGTTGCATTTCTGGGTCAGAATGAATGGGTGCCTGGTTGTCTGAAAGATGACATTTTTTATACTAATGATTAAAAATTCACTTTATTGATGAAAAAATTCCAGTGATTTGATTTTAATGACCAGGTAACTAACTCACCCTTCTAGTTTACCTATCAACTTCTAAGGCATTATATGTTGGAAAAAGATTTTATGTGACATCTTACCTGTTCAGGATTCTGTACTATATATCTCCTAATAGTTGTCTGTGGATATGTTGTGACTTTCAGTGCTGGAGAATGAAGTTCCTGTGAAGAAAAAAAAAAAAAAAAAAATATATATATATATATATATATATATATATATATATATGTGTGTGTGTGTGTGTGTGTGTGTGTGTGTATGGAATAATGTTTAGAGTGAAAGTTTTAGAGTCATTTGCATGAATCATGGTATGAGGATCTATAGTTAATTTCAATCTTGGGAACATTCATGAAAACATGTGTTGTGTGCTCAGCACTGTGCTAATTTCTTGGTGTCTCACAGTAATATATGCATTATATTTGTAGAAAATATAATTATTTTATAAAAAATTATTTTATAAAAATTATAAAAAATTAACAAAAATATTTGTTTCCCTATGTTACACATGATTAGAAGAAAATATAGCTTAATATTTATTTAATAAGTATTTGGTCTGAAAAAGACATGTAATATTTAAAAAAAATAGAAGGATACAGAATGAAAAAATTATGTGTATGTGTGTGTGTGTCTGTATATATGCACACATTTAAATCTTTAGTGTATTGGAAGGAGAGGGCCATAAACATTAAAAGGGAGAGAAAACACTACAACAAAATAATTTGTAAAAGTTATATTGGTAAGAGTCAATATCATTAATATAAAGAGACTTCTTATATATCCATGAGAAAAAAATCTTGACACTATAGAGAAATGAATAAACGACATGTACAATTCATAAAATAAAATGAAATGGTTAATAAATTTAACAAAACATGTTCAATAAAATTAGAAATCAAAGTTAACAAAAGAATACCACATACTTACTGAAATTTTTAAAGATAATAATGCTGATAAAAGAGCAGTAGAATGAGCACAATCTTAAGGAAAGAGGAAAATTAAGTAATAATCTATAGGCTAAATTATGTAGCTATTAAATACTTGAGTAATGCAAATTTACATGAAAAGCTCATAATATTATATAAGTTTAAGTGAAAAAATAAGGATACCAAATAGTATATATATTATGATCTTAGTTTTGTGTCTGAACTGAAGAAAATACAACAAAATGTTAAAAGTACTATATCTGGGCGAGGGAATAAATAATGAGTGATTTGTATTATTCCTTCTTATATTATTTTGTAATTATAAACTTTTCTCCAATAACATATTTTTATTATTAGAACATAAATGTAGAGAAATTAAATATGTAACTGTTAATGTGATTATTTGACTGGGTTTGGAGATGGGGAACTGTAACTTAAGTGAACTTAGGTTTTTGAAGCAATTCTACCATAGTGTTAGATTTGGGTGTAATTCACGTTTGTGAAATACTGTCACAAACTTGGCATTGAGCAAATGTTTGCTGAGTTTAAATGACTTTAGTCTAGGCAAAATTGGGAAGTGGTAGGAAAAGTTTTCTTTGATAATCTTACTAATTCTGCATAATGTCACACTTTTATTATTATACTCAAGGTCTAGAGACTACTTTTGTTTATTTTTTATTTCATTGTGTCCTCACTATCCAAGTTCATACTCTGGCACTTAATCAGGATGAGATTGTTTTTAAAACAGCATCTTCTTTCCCTAGTATCTTCTAAATCCCCTATTCCCTATACTCCCCTCTCACTTAAGTACAAACTTTAGGTATTTTATGTTTTGATTTCCTAGAATATAATTCTGGATATATGTTTACAAGCTAATTAAACACATATTTGCTAACATAATATTTAATTATCATTATAGGTATCTTTCAGACAAACATTGCCTAGATTCAAGAATAATTATAAAAGTGGGATTATTAGACCCTAAATGCTAAGAAAAATAGACATCTGTCTCTTTCAAATCATACACCCATGAAAAAAGCTAGTTCTGACCCTACAAGTTATTCTTTCTGAATATAAACATAAAATATTATCAGTCTCAAAGTCCATTCGTCAATCAAATTTCAAGGGACTTTTTTTTGGTGCTAAAGTCAAGTACCATTAAATACTCACTCGAGATTTTTGGTTAAAATCAAACTGCACTCAAACTAAAGGCAATTAGATTGAATAGGCAATGAAATTGAAGAATCTCATTCATAGCACTTATTTTGCATTCCTTTAGTTGGCTGAGCTGATTCTTATATATTTAATCTTCTTTTTCTTTTTAGGATCCTGACATTTTGTGAGTGTATAAAGGCTAATGCAGGCCTAAAGATTGTTTACAAATTTGATCAACACTTACATAAAAAGAATTAAAACAAATCAAATCTCATCCATAATTTCTTTTACCTGTTCAGTATTTTGCGTTATATGTAGAGTACTTGGGGCACAAGAAGATATTTTCAGAGTTGGAGAGTGGAGTTCCTGTTGAGAGAAACAAAAGGATCAGTAATTATTACTGAACAGTATCCTTTAAAAAATTATATAGTTTCCTGAGGCATTGAGCCCCCCTTACTTTTTTAGGGGGGTGGGTACTGGGGACTGAACTCAGGGGCACTCGACCACGGAGCCACATCCCCAGCGCTATTTTGTATTTTATTTAGAGACAGGATCTCGCTGAGTTGCTTAGTGCCTCACTTTTGCTGAGGCTGGCTTTGAACTTGCCAATCTTCCTGCCTCAGCCTCCTGAGACACTGGGATTACAGGTATGTGCCACTGTTCCTGGCTTATCTCCTTTATTTTTCTAATAATATTATTAGCCAGAAATAAGAAAATTAAATAGGGCTTTCTTTGATTATGTCCATCTTTCCAAAGAGCACATTACTGAATTACTTATGATAACATAGTTTCTGGGTCATTTTCATAGTAATACATTCTCTTTATACTAGTAAATATTTTTTTATTCTTTTGGGTGCTGATATATACACAATGTTATCATATGTCTGCAATTAATATCCTATTTTGTCTCAGCAACTCAGATATCATATTTTACCAATGTCCTTTGAATACTACATTGTCTTATACTATATTGTCCCTGTGTCCTATTTATAAGGCAACCTGTATTTTTGCTCTTAATGAACATAAAGGATATGTAAGCTCTGGATTGGTTTATAACCAATTTTAATGCACCTATGTCAATTTCAGTGAAATACTCACACAATTGAAAATTTGGGACTTAATAGGCTAAGAAATGCAAAATTTTATCAAACAATACTATAAAATTAATAATAGTTAATTTATTAATTTAATTAATAAATTCATTAATTTAATTAATAATTTATTAATTTGATTAATAATAGTTAATATTATAAAAATTCCAAACAATATAGAAAAATACCTTTGAAAACTTGACTAAGACTGCTGCCCTTAGATTACTTCAAGCTCCCACTTAATTATGCTTTGTCTGCTCTGATTCTAGTTTAATTCCAAAGAGTGGGCTCTAATGTAAAAATGATCCATAAAAATGAAAAAATATACATGATTTTTATAAGTAAAATGATCACTCTATTGATTATACTATCATTATTTATATTATTCCCAAATCAGCAATCCTGCATAGCTTTATTAGTGTGCACGGAGTTGATCACAGTATTCTATCACCCCATATTTGTAATTTAAAATTAATTGATATAACTCCAAGATAATTTTCCCACAAAGACAAAAACATTTTTTCTTTGGAACTAGGGAAATGTTAAAATTCACCATCATGGGAAACATGGATAGATTCATACACAAGCAAAGCTATAATAAGTGTAATATATTCTTAAAACAGGGCCATACATTTACTCAAACTTCCAAATATTCTGCATACTTTGTTTTTTTGTTATTGTTCAGCTTATAGCATTTTCATTTTCCCTGTCCCCCTACATCAACAGCAATATTGCAGGTTCATTGTTTCTAGGCAGCATCTCAGTATGTTCCCGTATTTCCTGCTGGTAGCCAAGGAGAATTGCTCAGACACAGGGAATTAAATAATGATTGTAGGCCAAACAGGTACATGCTCTTCTGTTTAGGAAAATTGTTAAAAATGCAACCATTTGCAGGTGAGTTTGGACCACAGATCCAAGAGTAGCAGGTTCAAGGAGACAGAAAGGAAAGGGATGTTTTTTGATTATGTAATACATGGGTACATTCTTTTTGTTTTGTTTTGTTTGGTACTGAGATTGAACTCAGGGGCACTTAACCACTGAGCCACATCCCCAGACCTTTTTATAGTTCATTTAGAGACACTATCTCACTGAGTTTTTTAGGGCCTCACTAAGTTGCTGAGGCTGGCTTTGAACTCGTGATGGTTCTACCTCACCCTCCCAAGCTGCTTGGATTCTGGCGTGCATCACCATGCCTGGATGGTACAATCTTAATGTAAAATTTTATACAGATAAAGGTAAAAGAACTTCCCTTAATTATCCTCCCTTCAGTCAGATCAATTATCCAGAAATAACCATTATTGTGTATTTTACATAAATATCTATTATAAATAGTAATATTTAACAATTTTATTATTCTACAACTTAAACTAACAATAGCTCTTATATAACAGGTTTATGTTTTAATGCATTATTTTAAGCTAATAGTGTTCTATAATGTTTGTTTGATAGCTTATTTATATATTTTCCTACTGATCAATATTTAAATTATCTCCAGATTTTCACTATTCTGCAGTGAGTATCCATGTGCAATGTGAGTGTTTCTCTAGAATCCCACAAAATAAATGGTATTCCTGAGGCATGGAGGATGTGCAGTATTCATTTTAACAGATACTACCTAACTGAATTCCTAAATGGCTAAGTTAATTATATATCTATCAGCAATGTATGAAAGTACTTAAAACTGCTGGTTACTTTTTAAAAATGTTTTAGCCTGTTTAGGCTAGGGCTAATACTATTATCATTCTAAGAAGTCAGTTTGTACATATAGCTGAACCTGGTAGGTGTTCTATAAGTGGCAGTTATCTCCTCTTCCATTAGACCAGTTAGAACCTGATAGCATTAGCAAATTGAAGCATACTAAACCTTACTAGCCAAGTAGACTAGGTTTTGTAATAAAAAGTTTACAATGTTTTATAAAATCATAGATATTAACCCAAATAGGCAGGTGCAAACACACACACACACACACACACACACACGCCATCTCAACACATCTGTTTATAGTACTATATGCAGGGTTAATTCATTCAGATGCTGAGACAGTAGACATTTAAAGGGCAAATTGTATTTCAGCAAAGATTAGTCTGACCCTAAAACAAAGGAACACCTTAATTTTCTTACATTTGGAATGTTGGCACATTAATTCCACACATTATAGTATACTTATTTGTTTCTAACTCTATTGAACTATCATTATTGAAATTGATTATTTAAACAAATGTGGCTTTTCTCATATAACCCTAATGGAAATATTACAGGACAAATGTAATAACTTCAAAAAGTAAAACATTAAGCTTAATATAAATCACAAACATTAAGATATATAGTGTTGGCCAGCATTAAGATCTTTAAGTTCCTATTTCTGACATTAAATTATAGGAATATGGATTTTTTTCAGATCAAAAAGGGGAACCCATCTAAATCTAAGATTTATTAATTACAGAAAGACTTGCTAAAGAAAATACATTTTCCCTGGAAGACCACAGAATTAGGTAAAATGATCTAAATGAAAGCCCCAAATGATGAGAAAAAGCACTTTCAGTAGCATTGACTTGTAGGTAGGATTGAAGGAAGTTATCCTGCAATAGCCATTGCCTGTTCCACTGGAAGTGGTAAAAATGTTTATGAACGAATGAATGAAGAGAATGTCTCAGTTTTAAGGGTACTTTAAGAATAATAATACAAACTTTCCTCATGATAACCTATATCAGATTTTAATTTACAGTGTCATGCATCTTTATATAGCTCACTTAAATCCTTCATGTTAAAATCATTAAATTCAATGAACAATGACATTTTTGTTCTTATCCTCTATCTGTACTACAACCCTATATTTCTGATAACCAAATAATTTAAGGCAGGGATGAGGTGGTGTGGCTATTATGTAGTAGACGAATTCTTGGACATTTTGTCAGGAGCCTGGGGTAAAATTTTACTTCTAGTTATATTACAAACTATTTATGTGACATTGGACAACTGTGTCATCACCATAAACTTGAGTTTCATCATGTGAGAAATGGGATGTGGGTGTAGGTAAGTGTGAATTAGAAGATCTTTAAGTTCCTATTTTTGACATTCTGTGAATATAGGAGGTCATTCCTAACTCTTTTTTTTGAGAGAGAGAGAGAGAGAGAGAGAGAATTTTTTAATATTTATTTTTTAGGTTTTGGTGGACACAACATCTTTATTTTATTTTTATGTGGTGCTGAGGATCGAACCCAGCACCCTGGGCATGCCAGGCGAGCGCGCTACCACTTGAGCCACATCCCAAGCCCTCCTAGCTCATTTTTTTCATAAAAACAAAATTATTTTAAATCCTCTAAACTTCTTGGTCTTGTTTGCAACTGATGATGATGGCAACCAACAATTATTAAGAATTTTCAATGCCAAACATATTACATATTTTCTTTTATTCAATACTCAAAACAACCCTATAAGGAATGTACCATTACAACCCCATTATATACATGAGTAATGTTAGACAAAGATAGGTTAATTATCTAGATGAAGTTTACATAGCTAATCCTTCATGTTGTAATTCAACCTCAGATAAAATGACTCCAAAACTCATGTTCTTAATCACTATATTTTGCTACATATAATGTTCATCTCATTATATTTTCTGTTTTTCAAGTTGTGCAACCTGATTCTAAGGGTTAAATTCAACTAGTCCTTATAATAGGAAGCTAGGTAATTGTCTTTTTAAATTTTTGCTGTCAAAAGCAACTTTTGGATATCTGAAATTAAGAAACCCACCTAAAAATGACTGTGTGAGGGAAGAGCATTGAATAAGTAATTTAAGCTTCTAAAAATCCAGCAGGCATTTACAGAATGCATTATATATTTAGAGTGTAGTTATAGACCTCTAAATGCAATAAAACATTTAATTTTTATTTAATACTTATAAAGTCCTAACCCTTCAATTTTGTAGGAAGACCTTCCCTATTTTTTCTGATAAAATATAAAGCATATTATTGAGTCATTTATTCATGTGGATCAGACCTGCTAAATAAGAAACATTATATTTTTGGCAACTATCCTTAGGTAGTGTTCTGGTGAAAAAGCATTTTGTTTATAATTGTGTGGAATTAGGTCTGATATAAAAGCTAGGCCTGTTTCTCCTGAGCTTCCTCTGATAATGATTATCCACTTTGTGAAAATTGTAACAGCACAATTCCTCCTCTTCCCCATTTACTTTTTATGAAGTACACATGGAATTACCAATTTTAAGATCAGAGTGGATCAAAATCAGTCTGCTTTTAGAGATATTTTTTA